TCTTAAAGAGAGAACTAATCCCACTTCCAGGCTTGCAGTGGGAATGAGGGGGAGGGAGGGAGGGAGGGAGGGAGGGGGGAGGGAAAGGATGAATGGCTTTCACATTTTGCTCTTCAAACTTCTGAATTGGTTGACACATAATAAAAACAAACTAAAATAATAAAAGTGAATAAACAGATCTAACCATAATCGAAGATGATATAAAACTAATGGCTGAAAAGCCTCAAACAGATTATGGTGACCTGGAAATGGTGGGTAAGGTCTCACCTGCAAAAATGAAGAAAAGGACATTCGAGTAGAAGGAAAAGAACTGAACAAAAGCAGAGAAGTAGGAAAGTGTCATCAGTGTTCTGGGAATGAAAAGTGGTTTGTTGTGGTTATACAACAAGATACAATTTGGGAAGTCTAAATGATAGTCCAAATGAATCACTTTAAGCAATTAATAAATCATTTCCCCCTTACTGAAAAGACTAAAAGTAAGTGAAATTGTGAAAAGCCAGGACTCGGTGCTTTCCACTACTCTGCCATGATAGAAACTTGGTGTCTGATGACAACAGTGGGGACTCTGTTCTAAACAATTTGGGGGTCAAGTGCATGATTACATCTGGGTTCCATGAGGTAGCTCTGGAATACAAAAGATGGGCTTGGGGAGAAAGAACCTGAAAGCTGTCAAGACAACAGAGTGAAAGCAAGAGACAATGACAGCCTGACCAAAGTGGAAGGAATCAAGGGCAAGGTCAGGGTAAAGACACAAACAAGTTAGCAGCCGCATCAACAGGTCTATAAGGGGGGGGACTGAAAGTGAAGGGGAAGTTAAAAATGCCTCAAGTTTATCATTTGAGTGTTGAGTGAATAAGATCATTAAGAAAACTAGAGTGTAGGGAAGGAGGTGCTACCTGAGAGGAAGATGATGGATTTGGTTTAGATGTCTGATTTAAAATGTCCGCAGGACATTCAGGTGGATATCCAAGGCTTGAGAGAAAGGCTGAGTTCTCATTAGTACCTAGGTCAGAGCCGAAGCCATGAGAAAGAAAATCAAGGGAGACTGAACCATGCAAGTAACATCATGAAAGCCAAGGAAGCCAAGGGAAAAAAGTGTTTCCGGAAAAAAAGGAAACCAGTGGCTGTTAAAGGTCAAAAGGAAAAGTCAGATGACATAAAGACTGAAAAGAGGCTATCCATGTTGGATTCAGCACGAAGAGGTTACAGGTGATCTTGAAACATGGTAGGTCTGCAATGGTACTAGAACGGACCTTGGCAGGGAAGGGGAACCGATTTGAAAAAGCAGAGGCTACATGTCCAAGAATTCCCTCCCTCTTCACACTAGGCTGTTCCTTGACTTGGACAAGACGTGTCCACAATCCAAATACCTAAAATCATTGCGTTCCTTCTCATGACCAACGCCAGTTACCTTCAACCACAGCAGCAAATGCCCACCTACCTACACACACAGCCAAATCCCTTATTTTATCAGCACATGACCCATCTCTATTCATTAGTAAGGAAATTTGGGTGGCCAAAGTTAAGGTCTGATTTTGCCTCCATTACAGGGACCACTCACAGAAGGTCACATTCCAAAACATGAAGTGTTTGAAACCAAAGCAATTTTCTAAGAAAACTAAAACTATGTAAACAAGGACTCCAGTTTGCACAAAATTTCCATGGTAAGCATTTTATATTAATTAACAACTCTGCAGGGTAGCAGGAACCTCTAAGATAATACATCACTTAAGAACTCATAATTCAACTTAAAGGGATGATTTAATCTAATGTAGCTGCAGTATAGCTATTCTAGTAATTTTGTACTGCAATTACAAATCTTTAAAACAACTCTAAATATGCATGTCAAAATGCCTCCTCCTAGAGTAACACTTACTTTGAAGGAAATCCCATACTCCCTTGCCCCAATCATTACAGTCTCAAAACCAAAGAAAATACAGTTGGATGACATTCCTGATCACCCTTCCACGTGAGGTGGCACACGTACTGTGAAGAGCACAGGCTCTAGAGTCTTGGGCCCACATACTTCTTAGACAAGTGCCTGAGAGCAAGTCTGCTCCTTCCCTTCTGGTATTAATGGCAATAATGTAACCTAGCCGGGTGGGTGTGGTTAACTGACACTGAATGACTTTTAGAAAATGAATACATGAAAAATAACTTACTTAGCCTGACTGGTACAGCTCAGTGGACTAAGCGCACTGGCTGCAAACCACAGGGCCACTGGTTCGATTCCCTGATCAGGGCACATGCCTGGGACAGGTCCCCAGTACAGGGTGAGTAGGAGGCAACCACACATTGTTTCTCTCCCTCTCTTTCTCCTTCTCTTCCCCGCTCTTTAAAAATGAGTAAATAAAATCTTTTAAAAAATAACTTAGAGCAGATACTAAATAAATATACCATTTTCATCTTAATTAGAGTTGAAGTTTAAAAAAAAGTATTACAAAGGCTCAAACATATGATAATACTCTTAAAAGTAAAAATGTTGTCAGTAGAAAATGAAGGGAAAAAAGTTCCTGGACTAATCAAGGGCTATGACCCCAGGGAAAAGACCCTCCTATAATACACAAACCAGACAAAGCCTTCCTTGCATTTGGGGGACAAGGCCTGCTCTTTGCCTACACCCTTGACCCTGAGACCTCAGATGAACTCCTGGTGTCAGCGATGCAGAAAGGAAGTAATCAAAGAGTCCTGTTCACCTCACGTCCACTAGGGCCACTCCCTCATGTGCTTAAATATGTGACTCAAAACTTACTTTAAGAAAAAAATGCACATGGCGATCATGAATTACGAGTACAGACCAGACTATAAACTACTTTACCAATTAATTACTCACAGGTGGTCATTTCACAAGGCTCTCCTGATTGTCAATTAAAATAAAACCTGAATACAAGGTTGTTCTACTAGTTAGCCAATAACCAATTCTGCTCCCAAAGCTCCTGAGGGGAGGAATGTGTCTGTCTTGGTTCATCTGACATTCCCTAGGACCTGGCATACAGTGGCTACTTAAAATTCCTTGAAAGATTTGTACATCCATGTCCTCAGCAGCATTACCCACAATAGCCAAAAGGTGGAAGTAATCAACAAGATGAATAAACAAAATGTGGTATATATCCACACAATGGAGTATTACTCAGACTTAAGAAGGAAAGAAATTCTGACATACACTACAACACGGATGAACCTCAAGGACATTGTGCTAAGCGAAATAAGCCAGTCACAAAAAGACAAATAGTGTATATAACTCCACTTATATGAGATACCTAGAGTAGTCAGATTTATAGAGACAGAAAGCAGAATAGTGGTCACCAGGGGCTGAGGAAAGGGAAATGGCAGTTAGTATTTAATGAGTATAGTTTCAATTTTGCAAGATGAAAAAAGTTCTGGGGGTGAATACACAACAGTGTCAATGTACTTAAAATGGTTAAAATGGTAAATTTCATACTGTTTTTGCAGTTTACAAATACACTGGAAGAATAAATAAATATGCAGCCCTGGCTGGTGTGGCTCAGTGGATTGAACACCAGCCTGAGAACTGAAAAGTTCAATTCCCAATCAGGGCACATGCCTGGGTTGCCAGTCACGTCCCCAGTGGGAGCGAATAAGAGGCAACCTATTGATGTATCTCTCACATTTCTCTCCCTCTCTTTCTCACTCCTTTCCCCTCTCTAAAAGTAAATAAATAAAATCTTCTTAAAATATATTCAGCACTACTTTCATCACTGACTAAATGTTCTCGTACCTTTGGATTATTCATTACAGAATTCCGATCTCCACATTTTGTAGATGAAGAAAGTGGGACACAGGGCTTAACTGATCTACCACTATACTACATCTGGTATCTACCATACAGTACTACTGAGCATTAACGGTGTATTGTTAATCTGAATGGGTCTAGGCCCCGTTAAGATAAGGGTCTTATCTTCAAGTCTTAGGTCTCCTCTCCGCTAGAGCCAGAACACTCCACCCACAGCCTTCCTAAATGCTCTAAAAATCCCTGTGGCTGAACATCTGTATCACAGATGTCATTGTATCCCTTTCTCAACCAAACCACTAGCATGGCAGGGGTCAACAGGCAGCATTGAGAACACTTTTACCACTGGAGGTGTTCAAACACAGGCTGGGCCACCACCCACTCCCCATGGCTTACTTCATGCCAAGAGTTGGGGCACAGAAAGGTTCAGATTTCATCTTTGAGGAAGCTGAGTCTTTGGCAGTAGACAGATGAGAATCAAAAACAATTAAAGGACAAAAGATAAACACTTAGCAAATCTCAGGGAGTGGAGAAAGTGGCTATGGGTCTGGAAAATGTGGAAAGTATCTTCAGCAGAGGCAACCCCTGAGCTGGATCTGGAAGGATGAAGAGTTTTCCAAGCACTACCAACAAAAAAGCTGGAGCATATAGCAGAAAGAACAGCAGACTGGGTTTCAAAAGAAAGCACCTTCCCGACTTTGCTGTTATCTATGTAAGTGACCTCTGCAAATCACAAATCCCGTTTCCCCACACAGAAACCTACAGTAAGACCCCCGACAAATTGTGTGTGTTGCATCTAACAGGAGCTCTGAAGCCAGACCACCTGGGACCAAACAGTGGCACTCAACAGTGACCTTGAGCTGGTTCTGTGCCTCAGTCTCCCCACTTCAAAAGGCTGGTGTCCTAATCAGACAACAAATGTTAATCACTTAGTACAAGGCCTGCCCACAGTAAGCCCTCAAAAAATGATAGCTGTCATGAGCTACACTGTAAGAAAAGCAAACATCAGCGCAAGCGTTGTGCCTGCTGAGCTTCCAGGTCCCTCCCAGTCCAAGAGACATCCAAGGGGGGAGATAGGAGCACAGAGCCGGGGCTGCAAAGCCTGCACGAAAGTGTCACTGCCCAGATCCGCACGCGCCTCTCCCCGCCCCAAGGAGAAGCGATGGCTCAGCAGTACCGGGGTCCCGGTCGCACCCCTCAGGCTGGGCACCCAGAGAGAGGAAGGACTAGTACTGGGCACCCCACTTACCATGCTGGCCGGGGAAAGAGGCGGCTCAGGTGAGCTGGGCTTCAGACTCGTCCCGCTCCCACGGTTCAGGTCATGATCCCGCAGTCTCGGGAAGTCCCCCGCCCATGAAAAGAGAACCGCTTCCCCACCCGGGCCCCGCGGGGACCCTCTAAAAAGAGCGCGGCCCCCCGACCCGCCTCATCGGGGAAGCCCAGAACAATTCATCAAGACCCACCCTCCCCTCTCCAAGTTAACTAAAAAAAAGCAGAAAATGGGGATCGGAGGCTGGCAAGGAGGGCAGCAGCTCGGGGCCCCCCGCCCGGGCCCGACCCCCGAGGGGAGGTTCCGGGCCCAGGCAGGGGCTTCCCGGCCTCCGGGTTCAGAAGCAGCAGCGGGCCCGGCCTACAGGCTGAAGAGGCGGAGGCTGAAAGGGCCTCGGCAGCACAGCCCGAGGGGCCGGTCAAGAAAGAGAGGCTGACTTATGGGAGAGGCCCAGGGGCCCGCGCTGTCCTCGCCGCCTCAGCCCCCACTGCAGCCACCGCCGACCTCCGGAGCATCCCTGCACACGACCACTCCTGCGGCAACCGCTGGTACAGAGCTGCCACCCCCGACTAACAGCCGAACGCGCCGGAAGTGGCGAGCGCCCGGCGTGGCCCTACGGCGCGGCCGGGCTGCGGCGCTGGAACCGGACCAATCCGGAATCAGGCGGGGGGCGGGGGTACGCAGGGCGGGGCCGTACCTGACGGTTCCCGCTGGCCACGCCCCCAGCCCCGCCCCACGCCTGGCGCCCGCCCACGCCAGCCGGCGGCCATGTTGGTAAAGGGCTGTTTCCTCTTTCGCTTCGTGCGCTCATTCATTCCGCAGGTCTTTGGGGAGCGCCTTTTACGTGCCAAGCGCCAGGCTAGATGTCAACGGCACGCAGTCTCTGCCCTCGTACAGTTTACATCCAGTCAGCCCACATACACGTTAGCCCTGCTATGTATGGCCCGGGAGCTTCTGTGGGTGCCAGGACTAGTGCAATAAACGAGACTGCTGTAGTCCTTGCCCGAAGGAGCCGGATTAGCAACAAGTGAAAAGCAAATGAATAATTTAATTGTAAGAAACGAGGAACGCTGTGAGTAAAGTGAACGCAACAGACGCAGTGGGCTGAGAGAAAATGGAAGGGAGGGATAAGAAATTTAAACTGAGACCTTGAGAATAAGGTCAGTAGTGGGTATCGTGACCCAAGTAAAAGAACAACAGAGGTCCTGGGTTCTGGAACGGCAAAGAATGTGTTGGTTCCTGTTCTATCCTCCAACCCACTTTACTTATAAACGTGTTCATTTTAAGAAATAGAAGCAGGAAACAATCCCTAGCAGCAGATGTGCTGCTAGATGTGCCCACTTATAGACTAGAACAAATCTGTGTAACCCAGTGCCTTTCAAACTCCAGTGTGAATAAGAATCATCTGGCAGGCCTGTTAAAACATTGCCGTCCTGACCCGGTGTAGCTCATTCAGTTGGGCATCGCCCTGCAAAGCAAAAGGACACAGTTCAATTATGGTCAGGGCTAAGATACAACCGATGATCAATCTTTCCCTCCCATATTGATGTTTCGCTCCCTCTCTTTCTCTTTCTTTTCCCCTCTCTCTAAGAATAAATAAATAAAATCGTTTTAAAAATGTTTCTGAGCCCTGGCTGGTGTGGCTCAGTGAACTGAGCGTAGGCTGTGAACCAAAGGGTCATTGGTTCCATTCCCAGTCAGGGAACATGCCTGGGTTGTGGGCTGGGTCCCCAGTTGGGGGCGCAGGAGAAGCAACCACACACTGATGTTTCTCTCTTGTTTTCTTCCTTCTCTCTCTGAAAATAAATAAGTAAAATAATTTAAAATATATCACTTGTTTTCAAAAAAAAATTTTAATGTTTTTGAAAAAACAGATTGCCATCTGAGTCCCACTCCCAGAAGGTCTGGGGTGGAGCCTAATAATTTACACTCCTAACAAGTTCCCAGGTGATGCTCATGGTGCAAGTCCAAGGCCCACACTTGGAGAACCACTGATATAACTCATGACTCCAAAAAGCTTTCCCTTATTCTTTCATCAGATATTTATTGTTGCCCACTAAGTAACAACAACTATTTTGAGGATTCGGTGCTGAGCAAAGCAGACACACTTGTACCCTTATGGAACAGAGAGAGAAATGGTTTTTAAAGTATTATACAGTAAGTAATCAGTTATAATTGTGAAAACAGGCTAAAAGAAAAATACAAACCATCTTGAAAGTTAATAGGGATCTAAGCTAATCCCAGGGCTGGGGTAGGGAGGTGGTCAGGAAGTGAAATTTTTTTAAGCCTGAAAGAAATGTTATAATTTTCTAGTCAAAGAGAGGAGGCATAGAATATTCTAGACAGTAGAAACTGCAAGCACAAGAGAAGCCATTTCAGAAGGTAAGCAGATAAACCAGGACTGAGGCCAAGTACCTTGCTCTTTCTTGGCTCAGTTCAGTGGGATAAGCAAAGGCTTTCATATTCAACAACTGGGAGTGGAGTCCCAGCTCTTAGCACAAGCTGAAGTCTGTTGTGCACGTACGTTACTGTAAAGTCTTGGTTTCCTCGCTGTGTAATTGGATGAAATAACAGACACTCAGCTCAGACTGAGAAGTATGCCTTTGGCTCATACAATTCTCATAGGTCCGCTTCAAGCTGGAAATGACGAGAGCCCTTGATCCATTCCTCTAGGATCTTCTTGGCTCTGCTGTCCTCCTTGTCCTCAAGATGGCTGCCAGGAACAACCAAGGTCACAGACTTCCTCATTCTTTTTTGTTTTTAATCCTCACCTGAGGATATGTTTGTTGGTTTTAGGGAGAGAGGAAGAGGGGAGGGGAGAGAGACATCAATGTGAGAAGCATCAATTGGTCGGTCACCTCCTATACCCCCCGCAACAGGGCATCAAACCCGCAACCTAGGTAAGTATACAGGGCGACCTCTGACCAACTTAGCCACCAGGCTGGGGCACAAACTTCCTCATTCACATTCAGCAAGAGAAAGCGCTCTTCTTCACACCCTTTCTCATAGCAATAAGCTTTATCCTGCTGGTCCTGATTGACCCAGTGCCCATTCCTGAACTAACCACTGTGGAGGAGGACGGAATTGCTGTGATTGACTTAAAAAGTCTTCCCCCAGAGTCGATTTTATTCCCCAGAGTCAAGTGGATTTGGTGGCGTCACAAGGGGCCACTATACTTCCATCGCCAGGCTGGAGTGAAGGTTAAGTCGGATGTATACAAAACACCCGGCACATTAAGTCATACAACAAATCACTGCTGTTATTAATTTTACTTCAGGGATTTTGTCCAAGTCAACTGTATAACATTTTGTTATTAATATTAATCTCAAAACTAACTATTCCAAAAAAGATTTAAGGCTGCTATTACTTTTTGTTGGCACCACAGGGATGGCCCCCATCCATCTCCTCCTGCCCATTCCTACTGCTACTGCCTGGTCTCATTCATTCACTTGTTTGTACAACAAACTTTCAGTGAGTTAGTATCAATTTTGGGCCATGACTTTTCAAAAACGAAGAGTTCCAGCCCTAGTTGGTGTGGCTCAGCCCCAGAATGAGGGCCTGTAAGAGGCAACTGATTGATATTTCTCTCCCTCTCTCTTCACCCTGCCCCTCTCTCTAAAAATAAATAATTAAAGCCTTTAAAAAACAAAAACTACATGTTCCAAGTGAATAAGATTCAGGTCAATTGTGCACTGCCTCATAACAGCCACCCAAACATGTAAGTGGTGCTATAACATAGGTGTGTAGCTCTGGCCAGGTGGCTCAGTTGGTTAGAGTGTGGTCCTGTACACATACCTAGGTTTCGGGTTCGATCCCCAGTCAGAGCACCTGTGGGAAGCAACTGATTGATGTTTCTCTCACATCAGTGTTTTTCTCTCTCTTTCTCTCACTCTCTCTCTCCTTCCCTTTTTTCCTTTCTCTCTAAAATCAATAAAACATATCCTCGAGTGAGGTTTAAAAAATAAAGAAGTGTGTACAAACCTTCTAAGCACACAAGGAAGTGGAGGGAGCAACTAACTGTGGCAGGGAAAGCAGTTGCAAGGCTGAAACAAAGACGGTAACGTTTCAGTTGGATCTTGCTGGAAGAACAGACGTTGACCTGACTGCTGCCATTCCTACTCCTCTTCCCACTTCAAACTGTCTTCTTCCACTGTTCCAAGACCATTTCCACTGCAAGTGACAAAGTTGGGACTCTATTATAAGGAAAAAAGGGACTATATTGCCTCAGGTAAGAAAATCATCCAAAGGGTTCTGTGAATTTCAGACACTGCTGAAATCAAAGTCTGAAATGCTATCCTGGAACTCAGTTCTCTCCATTTCTTGGTTCTGCTTCCTTGACTGAAGGGGGGGGGGGGCGTATTTTATCCACATGGTGGCCCCTAGCATATCCAGGCTTCAGCTTCTCCCAGGTTAAAACTTGGTAAAGAAGGGAGTGCCTGTTTTACAAATATTCCAGGAAAATAATCCCATTGGCTTCGATGGAATCACTCCTGAACCAATCACTGCAACCAAGGGAAATATGATGCTCTGGTTGGCTGGACCTTGCTCCACCCCCAGCTCCAGAATAGCTCTTTAAGTGTCTAACATCTCTCTATGCCCCACCACAACTCTGCAAGACTATCAGAGCTTGGAGAATTCTCTCCTTTTGCAGATGAGGAATTTTGTTAATGTCTCAACAAGCATAGAAATAACTGTCATTCAAAATGGATTTAATGAGCTCTGATTGGTGTGGCTCAGTGGGTTGAGCATCATCCCACAAACCAAAAGGTCATGGGTTTGATTCCGGGTCAGGACACATGTCTGGGTTGTGGTTCAGGTTCCCTCTCTGGGCGTGCAAGAGGCAACTGATTGATGCTTCTCTGGCACATCGATATTTCTCTCTCTTTCTCCTTCCCTTCCCCATTTTCTAAAAATAAATACATAAAATCTTTTTTAAAAAATGGATTAGTGGAAGAAGGGTGTCTGGCACCCTCTATAGGTGATAGAAACACTCTGTTTAACCTGGCATTCACAGTCTTTTAAGGTCTTTGAAACTCTCTTGCCAGATTCCCTAACCCGAGTCCTTGCCTCTTACATAGCTGTGTGGTCTTGAGCACATACATCACCTAAACTCTTTGTTTCCTCACCCCTAAAATGGAAACAATACTGGTACCTGCCTGGTCAGGTAAGTACCTGTATCAGTCAGGTTCTATCAGGAAAATCTAATTAGAATTTGAAGAATTGACAAGGGGGCTATTTTTAAAAGGGCAATGTATAATTAAACCCTACAAGGGATAATAGAACACCCCAGGTCTAGTAAGAAGGCGATTTGTATCTCTAGACTTGAAGGGGCGGGAGAAAGAGCAGTTGCCAGAACCTGGGAAGGGAGAATCGTGTGAGAGCAGCTGAGGGAAGCAGCCAGCTAAGGCGATCCAGCAGGCAGGAAGCCAGTGGGGTAAATATTCTGTCTTCTCTTCCTCTGTCTCCTACTGGGACTCCCTATTGGACAAACCCAGCTGGAAGCCAGAGAGCAAGGGAGCCCAGTGATGTAGTTCATAGAGGCCAACCTCCTGGGCCCGAGGCTGGGTAGAGAAAGGGGAACAGGACTGCCGGGTTGGAATGGAGGAGGCCCAGCAGAGCTTCAGGGCTGTGGTAAA